CCTCCCTCCCACAGGCTGGAGGCTTCATAGTACCCCAGGCTGGAGGCTTCACAGCACCCAGTGCTTCTTGCTTCTAGGATCCTATTCCCATCTAGGCCAAGCAAGCCTGGCATCTGAGGGCTACGTGAGTCTTCAGGCTAAGTTCCTGGAAACTATACAGTGGACTCATAGTGGAGGTGGGGGCATGTTTTCTCTTCTGTTCTGGGAAGCAGCGTGTGGGAGGGTGGTGCTGGGAGAAGGGAGAGGGGTAGAAAAGGCAGACAAGATGCCCATTATACCCAAGCCTGTCAATTTCCTTTTTTCATCTCTTTATCAGTGTTTGTGACTGAGCGTCTTATCAACAGGAAACGCCTGCCTAAGGGGATGAGGCAGGTCCAGGGGGACTGGATGTGGGGGACCGGGAATTCTGGGTAGTGCATTACTGCTGGGCAGCCAGGCTGAGTGCTTCCCAGGACTCAGTAAGTCTCCCAGGCTCTTCGCCTTGGCATCTGGTGACTCCTTTGATCTACAAAGCAAGGTAACACACCAGACAGGCCCCGAGCCCTGGCTGGGGCTCCAGTCCTGACCCTGTGTGATCAAGGACAAGTCACCAAACTGCTCAAGCTGTAAAATGAGAAGAGTTGTCTTTGCCCCCAGTCTCCACCAATCTCCCCCTCCTTTCCAAGTGAGGAGAGGCCAAGTGACGGGCTACTTAGTGACAGTCATCCCAACTGGCCCCTCTAGTGTGTTTACCTTGGAGCCCTCAGAGGCTCATGCCTGTGTCGATCATCTACGCTGGGGACCATTAGGTGCTTGGCACACAACTCCAATGAAAGAGAAGAGGCGGACTTTAGCACAGGTTGACCTCCTCTTGTGTGCCAGTTGCTTTAAAAACATTAATCATTGGACTAAGATCCTGGTCCCTCAGGTAGGGCTCCCAGGAGAGGAACGGACTGAGGGTCAGATTTCCCAGGGGCAGAGATCACATCTTAGTGCAGAAAATAAATGTCCACGAGCGATATCTGGGCCAAGCAAGGCTGGCTGGGTGGCTGAGAGGCACAGGTTTATCTATCTAGACATCTTTCTTCAAACTGGCAGAAGACTGAACAGAGAGCCCAGAGGCTGGCTGTTGTCCTGGCAGGAGAGGCGGGAGAGGTTTGTGCAGAACAGAGAATGGTGACCTGGCTTCCCTTCCTCACTGTCTGTCGATCAGGTGTCCTTGAGCAACCAGACTCTGCTTCTGATTACGTTGATAATAAAGGAAATTCCCTTCATTGCCCAGCCTCCGTGTCTCCCTGGACAACCTCATTCGCCCCCTGCCTTACCATTTGCTCCTGCAGTTGGGATGTAGGTCAGTAAGAGTGGGTGGGTGAGAAAGAACAGAGAGACTCATCCAGACATGCCACCCTACAGGGCAGCAGTGACAACACTTTAACCTGAAAACTGCCTGAAAATAGACTGTGTGTCTATGACATTATGCAAATCGTATGCAAAGTCAAGAAGCCCTCTGTCTCTATTTCTAGCAAACTGAATGTGGCCCTGGTGGAAGTAGCTCATTCCAAGAGTCGCCCACCCAGAGTGACGATTGCACAACTAGCATCAGTCCCAGCCTGGGAGACTGGACTCAGGACGTGCACCCCCCATCCCACCTCTGGGACCAGGCCTTCTAGGCATGAGGACTGTGCCATCTCTTGGGCTGTTGAACTGCATGTCAGTGAGGATATGGAGTAAGCAGAGCACCTTCCTTGAAGCTGGTGCCAGGCAGGACTGAGGGAGGATGGTGCCTGCGAGGATGGAGAGGAGAACTGTCCCAGAGGGCCTAAGTATGAGAAGGCCTTGGAAGGGGGAGAGGTGGCCCTATGCATCAAAGCTCACGTTCCAGGCACCACTTCACCCCCACCTTGGCAGGACAGCACCAGCACCCCTCAGGGAGGGCCCCTGCCACACAGATCATCCTCTCCCTCTTTGTATAGGCAGGGAAATTGGGGCCTGGGTTCCCCCAGGAAATCAGGGCAAAGCGGCAAAGAAGCAAAGGGGACAGTGGGTTTCCTTCCTTCCAAGGCAGGCAGGTTCCCTCAAGGCTCTGGTGGAGGCAGGGGCTTGGACAAGGTGACTTCCCAAGGGCTCTGCCAAGCTGGAGCAATGAGTCTGGGCTCCTTCCCCAGAGCTCGCTCAGCCTTCATGTAACTTCTCCCCACTCTCCAACCACAGTGTGGACTTCAGGGTGAGGGTCTAAGATCCAGGGTCTGGCAGGGGCTGGAGAGGGGAAAGGCTGCCTTTGCCCGACGCCAGAAATACTTTTAGTTCCTCAAAGCTGCTCCAAGAGATACCCAGTGCCCACGTCCTCTTAGAAGGCACTGTCTGTTGTGGGGGATCCGTGAACCCAGTGGTGGAGGCTCCAGGCATGAGGCTTTCTTGGGGCTGCAGGGAGCAGGCAAGGTCATCAGAGGCAAAAGGAATCGGCTACCATCCCTGTGTTTCCCTAGGGTGGCGTCTCATACGGAGGCACACATTTTCCAGTCTGGTTAGTCCCATAGACAACGCCCCTCCCAGCTTCTTTCAGTACCTGCCCTCCCAAGACACGTCCCCGCACCCAACTCCCGGGGGTAGGGGTACTGAGAGGAGGGTGAGGTGCTTTCTGAGCTTGGGATCCCACGGTGGGTCCCGAGGCATGGGCATCTCCCCATTCTGGAGGTGGTAACCGACTCCCGGCAAGATGGGAGACCCCATGTGAGGAGGGAATTGGGGAATGAAGGCGGGCAGGTCCAAGCTACCTCTGAATGACGACTCAGACATCACCTCGCCAGGTGT